TCTCCCAAACTCTATCGCCTAGTCTATCAACTCTGACAGGCCGAGACAGTGGCCGCTTTATACCTGCATGTTCTGCATATTCTTCATGTCGCAACCCTACCCTAGTGATTGCTCACCCAATCACGGCTCTAGCACAATGAAAAGAGCGCTGATTCTCACAGGTCAGTGTTTCCCTTTGGCTGAGTTTTAGCCAATAGGAACGAAGCTAGATAGTTTGTAAACGACTGAATGTCACATTTGGTTTTCCCCTGTCCCGCACACTTGGTTTGTCTTGGACACTTTGCGCAAAGTTGCTACACGCCTATCACCCACGCCTACCTCCTGTTTCTTGCTTCGTGACACACCACATGAGTTGACAGGTGGCGTCTGTTCTGTGGTTTTCAGCAAAACTTATGTGGCAGGAATGTGAACTCCCGGGAAGCGGCACGGCCTGCGGCCAACCTGCCGCTTTTCCCGACAAGAGGAATCGATTGGACATTCGGTGAAGTGCACGATTGGGGCTGACTCCTCGCCAAGGCACCACCTGCACAAAATTATACAGACGACCTCCGCTACGCTGCGGTGCGCGCAATTTTGTGGGCAGATGCTCTTTCATCGCTCGCTGTAAAGCTGATCGTTCTTATGCGGGTGTATACAATACACAAGTATGTCCGAACATATTCCGTTCGGACACTTTCATTCGGACAAAATATGTCCCCCTTAAGTCCAATACAAATGTCAAGTATGTCCGACTGAAATTGTCCGAACGGTGTCCGCAAAGTGATCATATTACCCATATGATTTGAAGTCGAATAGGCTTCCTCCTCATTGGCCAAAATTCTCTCAGGAGACACCGTTTCGTATACACATGATTGGAAAGACACATGCTACATGTCATTACACCACTATTTTTAGTCGGATACAAGTGACACATCCAGACTCAGTACCGCGAAGGATATACAGTACTGGTACGTCCGGAGCAGGGCTGGGGAAAATATATTTAAATTAATTTTAGCTTGTCAATATATTGTTGTTCGGAAGAATAATTCATAATTTTATTGAAATTTGAACAACCGAAAAATTCAATATTTCTGACTCGCAACAATTATTGTCCATATTTTCGATAATTCTGACCTAAACGATGGTCAAAGTAACAAGCCAAGGCCTTGTCGCGTAACATGTCGGTTTGACGATCAGGCGGAGGTGGATGGGCCCTGGGTTCAATTCCCGGGGTGCGCCAAGTTTTTCCTGAAAATGTATATATTTTTAGGGCGGGTCTGGATGCCGCAAAAAATGGCATAAAATGGCCGTTTTTCAAAGAAAAGTTGCCAAAATCGAAATCTTCCATTTTTTGAAATTTTGTGCGTCTGGATGACACCAAAGTTCAAAAATTTATGCTACAGTCTTGAGAATCGGGTGTTTTATGGCATAAACAAATGGGCCGATTTGGTCAACTTTATTGTGGAGTTGTGTTCACGTTGACAGTGAAATGTTGCACTTCAATCGGAAATCGAATATTTCTTTCATAATTCAACTGGCATCCAGACAACTGTGTATATACTTATTTTCTCTTTTTTTTTCATGGGATATGAGACTTTAGGAAATTTTTGCAGACTTGCCAACACGGTTTATGACATAATTTTATGGGGTGGCATCTAGACCAGCCCTTAACTTTAAGTCGAAGTCGTTGATGAGGTTGCAACAAGTAATCGTATGCGCACATAGCCACCCTGACTCATGATACGCGAGGCAATCGCACTTGTACTTGAGGCGGACCAACTCGCACTAATCAGTAAAAATCGTGATTTTTAGTTACTTAATTTAATTCTAGGAATAAATTAAACCTCGTTGAATGTAAAGTGCTCGAGACTTGACACGTTTTCCCGAATTTCAATGTCTACGTCGACATGAACAATGTGTAAGCTGAGGAAAGCGTCCTTGATTTTTTCTGCCAATAGGTCAACTGTGCCTTCGCCATTGAGGGAGTCCAGATATCTACACATTTCAGGTGCTATTGTAACAGTTCTATGATTATTCGTAACAATGTATGGAATTTCTTCATCCTGGACAATGTAATGAAAATTCCAAAGTGCGACGACGAGTTGAAGCAAATGCATGATTGCTTCGACGAGTCTGTGATTTCTTGGCTTGAGTAAAACTAGAGCCTTGGCCAACACTTCACCCGAGATTGGTGCATCGATCCACGTGGCTGGTGTATGATCGGGCTGTATAGCGTCAGCAACAACAATTCGGGGAATGGTGTGCTCCAGTACAACACTCGTTGTTGCTCGTAGCCCATGGGCGCAAACCTTCACACGCAGTTATAAGCGTAGGTCCAATTATGTGTTACCTGTTTGATACGCTTATGATGGCTCTCAATGTGCTGTTGATGTGCAGGAATTCCAGGAGTGAGCGACGCAACGAAGAACCAAACGTCCCAGGGGGGCAGCAAATAGGTTTCTTGGAACCACTGTGCAAATTCCTCCTCCGCGAGCGATGTTTCCCAGTCCATGAGGACGACACTTGCAATAGCATGAAATTGCATCCACGTCCGTGCAGATCGCATGAGGTGGATTTGAGTGCAAATGACCTAGTAGTTGTCCATGGTCCGAAGCAAGGACTTGTGCTTGTGAACGTTTCGCACCATGTGGATGGCGCATGACACAACATGGACTTGCGGCCACTGCTTCTTGAGAGTGGTTTGGATGTACTGGGTGTGATCAATTGAGCACGTCGCAACGTCGAGCGGGTAGTCGAAGAACGTGTCAAACGCTTCAGCGAATACTCGCAATAGCTGCGAATAGGCTTCCTCGCATTCTGAGCGCACAAACAGGTACGACCATGGCATGAAAGAGCTACCAAACTTGTTGTTGGAAAATCTTGTGTACACAACGCCTATGTCAATGAGCGTCCATCCCCCTAGTAATCATTACATCTATCCTCTAAGTAGGGATCGTGTTATGTACGGACCGAAGTGAAGCTTGTATGTCCCGTCGGTTGCAAGCGCTACCCCTTCCTTTTGATGTTTCGAATCTATTGCTACGTTCCACATGTTCTGGCTTGACGTGAACACGATCCCAGCATATGGGCGTTGCTCAAGCCCGTCGAGTCCAACAGTACTCGTCCACCCCGTAAATACGCTAAGTACCAGCAGCTGCTCCCTGGCAGAACGTAAGTGAGCTTTGAGAGGTGATACTTACTTGTACGCATTGTCGAGGGCGGCGAATTCAACGTATCCTCCGCCGCGTTGCTTCGTAATGTGCTTTCGTCGTGCAGCCAGCTGCACTCTTGTTGGTAACCGTAGGAGCACAGCAGCGTCATGTTGGTAAATGGTTCTCAGGTGCACCTGTACGTCGTAAGTACTTTAAAAACCTTAATACACCATACTACCTCCAACTTCAATGGGGTAAAACCACCTTTTAGATACGAATCGATCTCAGCGCGCAAGGAGGGATGAACTCCACGTGAACGAGTAACGGCCGTGTCCTCGCTGTGTGCAGCGTTGGATCTCTCAAGTCGTGATACAAACGTGGGGACGACGATACGATTCTTGTGCGTACACCCAGTATGACTAGAGCACGCGTATACGTAGGAGCGCTTCGTGTCGGAGCACTTGTAAGTTGCGCAAGTGCCTGTAGCGATTTGTACTGGATGACTCCATTCCCGCCTTCGCTGCACAAAAACTCTCATATTCACACATTAAGGACCACTGCAGCTCGGTATCGATTCGGGCATGGCCAGTCAAAGCTTCGTCGTATGCATCGTCGATGCCAATGTGGCTTTGATCCAGCTCTGATATGTCGCTGCTGCTCTCCATTCCCGTGGCTTCGTTTTACGTGTCAGCAGCTAGTGTGAGAATGAATCAACATGCCTTCGACGATAATTCGAGCAATAGCAAGACGACGTTGAAAATAAGGATTGTTGTAACCCCCGGTATTGAACGCACGACCTTTCGCTCAAAGGACCATTACGCTACCTTTAAGTTAATATCATGGAACGACTACCGACAGTTCATTACATCATACATTACAATTACTAAAGCAAAAATTGCTTGACCATACAAAAGTTAGTATTAATAATTGTGACATCCAAGTTATCCGAAGACGACTTCCGGCGAACGTACTCAGCGTCCAGCGCACTCTGACTATCTGGCATATTGTACATCAACACCGGGGATCGAACCCTGTACCACTCGGTTACCAAGCGGGAGCCCTACCACGTGAGCTATTTTCCTT